AATTAGTTTTCTTCGCTGCACCCAAAGTGTTGCTCCTTTTCCCCAAACGACTAATTCCGATCGGACGTCCTTTGGGACACCGCTTCTGCAGCAGGGTTTCAGTTTTCAGTTTTTTTAGAATGATGATTGTCTGATTTTCAGTTTTTTTGTGTGTATGAGGTCTGATCAATCCTACTTCTGTCGGATAAAATGAGCAAAAACGATTTCAGAGTGAATCTGCGAACCAAGTCTGATTCTCAGACCTGCTGCTGAGATGTTACCCATTAGATCTGGGATTTAGATCCAGGTTTGGGAAATGGATCCGGACCACTTTTATTTTCCAAGCCACAACTTCGTCGCCACTACTCGGGGGTGGCGCAGCATTTCTAACACCACTGTCCCTCGTGCACTTTTAATAATGAGCAGATCCGGCCACGGCCCACCGTCCATCCTGCTGCTGCACTCTGCCGCCCAGTCGTCCGCCATGTTCACATCCGCTCTAAAGAGAATGGGGGCGGCCGGCCTGCACGCCATAGCGCTGGATCTGCCCAACAGCGGCGAGTCGTGCCGTGCTGCGTCAGCATGTGCTGATCCCACGCAAGCAACTCAGCTTCCGAGCGGCGAGCTGACCATGGTTGACGTGGCGAACCTTGTGCTGCAAGCTGCTCATGCGCTTCGATTCTCGCCGCCATTTGACATTGTGAGTGTTGATGACATGACAACGTGGATCAAATGGATGGTCAATCTAATGATTGTGGAAGATGGGGGGGAAAGAAACACATCAAAAGAAGCATGTTGAGTGACTCACCAAGTCAAATGCTAATGTGGGTGGTTGGGGGTGGAAAGAAGCCTAATAAGTGAGTCGGACTCACCATATGGACGTTCATATTGTGATGTCCTGCATCTATTCCCCGGAGCACCTGAATCACAAAATTACCCAGGTCCCTGCATATCCTTCAGAGAACTGGTGAGGAGGCCATGGGACCACTTGGGTCCAACTTACGGAATCCCGTTGCTTATTTTGTCGCTGAAACACCACGGAGGATGCAACTGGGAATGGATGGTTGGGTGCATGCATGCATGGGTGGTAGAGTGGAAGGTTGACTGGATACATGCATGACCGGACCTGACATGTATAATGTGACTGGATAAATGCATGACCGGATCTGACATGCATAGTGTGACTGGATACATGAATGACCGGATCAGACATGCTTAGTGTGACTGGATACATGCATGACCGGATCAGACATGCTTAGTGTGACTGGATACATGAATGACCGGATCAGACATGCTTAGTGTGACTGGATACATGCATGACCGGATCAGACATGCTTAGTGTGACTGGATACATGCATGACCGGATCTGACATGCTTAGTGTGACTGGATACATGCATGACCGGATCTGACATGCTTAGTGTGACTGGATACATGCATGACCGGATCTGACATGCTTAGTGTGACTGGATACATGCATGACCGGATCTGACATGCTTAGTGTGACTGGATACATGCGTGACCGGATCTGACATGCTTAGTGTGACTGGATGAGACCACACCGACAACCACGCTTGCAAGAGTTTTTAGATGTCTCAAAAATCATACGTGGAGGAGAGGTGAGTAGATAGATCTGGGACCACCGCGGTGAACCACGCATGCAAGATATGCCTAGGCCCCACCCTCCACTCATTCCTCCCTTCAACTCCTCTCTCTCCTCACCCTCCCCCCCCTTCTCACCTGTCCGTCTTCCTCACCCTCCCCACAATCCTCTTCGCCACAGGTGGGGCACGAGGCGGGCGCCACAGTGGCCATCCACATAGCAGCGGAGCTGCCACACATCGTGCGCCGCCTGGTGCTGTGGGGCGTTCCCATGCTCGGCTTCATGGAGCGTGGCGACGCCCTTCGGGAAGAAACCCCCGACGTCCAATACGACTCCGACCTCCCCGATGCTGTCACCACATTCCTGCACCGCCGCTTCCCAGACGGCGGCGTGCCGTGGCAGCTGAAAGTGCGGACGCTGATCGACATGCTGCAGACGTACGAGCGGCGGCCATGGCTGTCGAGAGCCATGGCTGTAGTGGATCATGCGGAGCTGCTGAAGCTGGTTCACACGCCCGTGCTCTGCATGGCTGGGGAGAGCGAGCCGCTGCACAAGGCGACGAGAAAAGCCGCCCTGTTGTGCAAGAACGGGGAGTATGTGGATATGGGGGCGGCGGGGCGGGACGTGGTGGATGAGTTACCAGATGACTACACCAGCGTCGTGCTGCAGTTTCTCTTCGGGGAACCTGGTCCGGCCGGGCCTACTGAACGAGCCAGTTGCTCTGTGCCAGCTGCTGACGTGGCAGGGGCGGGCGTGGATCGGCATATGTCTGACTCAGCAATGAAGGATGCTGGTGGGAGGCCTCTGCAGAAGCACGTGTCGCACAATGAAGCACAGATGGGGAGGGGACCGGCTGGATCACATGCCCATGCCCATGCGCATCCACAAGAGCATGCACACACGCATGCACACACACATGCACACACACATGCACACACGCATGCACACGCTCATGCACGGAGCGAGGCAGAGCAGCGGGAAGGAGGGGTGGAGATGAGGGAGGCGGGGCAGCAGGGGCGCAGCTACGGCACGAGCAGCAGCAGCAGCATGGCGCCCTCGCCTGTGATGGGCAGCATGGCCTCGTCCCCCGTCACGGCCGTTTCCCCCAGCAGCCGCTCGTCGAATGACAGCGAGGAGCGGCGCGCGTCGGGGGAGAAGCGCACCAAAGACCGCATCAAATCGTTCTTCCGCGGCAAGAGCACCGCTTGAGAGGGGAGCAGTGATTGAAGGGAGAGTAGTGGTTGGGGGGAGAGCAACGCTTGAGGGGAGAGCGGCAATAGAGGCGAGGCCAGCACCAGTGATTCAGCGGAGAGTGCATGAGGTGAAGTGTGCTTAAGGCGAGAGCAGCATGCTTGGGGCGCACAAACGACCACGCCAAGTGGTTTTTCCGCGGAGAGAGCACCGCGTGAGGGTAGTGCAGCGCTTGTAGGGAGAGCAGCACTCGAGGGGATGGTGTGAATGATGTGCACCATATACCTACTCGTGTCGCGTATAAGACTGCTAATCACAGCACCACGTGAATCTGGCGTGTTGAGGAACCTTCCATGCTGAGGACCACACACCTTGGTAGGGTGAGCACAAGGGTGAATAGGAGAGTAGAAGTCAGTCACAATAAGCCGAGCCAGCAGCGTAAGGGCTGGTGCGGTACCTGCATTGTAAAAGGGCATGGCCCGGCTTATCTAGAGCGTTTTTGCAGTGTTTGAGTGCCCCGTTTCATGTAATGCCTAACGGCATGTATGCATCCCGTCCCGTTCCTTGTAGTGTCAACCTGAGTGCCAATTTTCGGGCCAAAGTGCCCATTTTCGGGCCAACGTGCCCGGCAAACAGCAGTCTTCCATTCACCAGTACCACGTGCTTATAGCAATGCTTCATACCCAACACAAATGTCAGTGGCGGGTCAAGATGCTGGTGAAAGGCCCCGTGCCTTGCTGCCTGGAGGTGGCTCAAGACCAGGGCCCAAAATTGGTTTAGGCCTACCCTTACGAATCAGGGTACCAGCCCCTCCTTAACCAGACCCCTAGGGTAAAAAAATTCATACCCTGTTTTCAGCAGGGTAAATGTACCACTAGCCTGATTTGAGCAGGGTAGTTTTAGGCTAAGCCTGTTTTGTATCTATTTTGTGAGTTAACTTATTTTTAATGATATACACAAGTAGCACATTCAGAGTCCATGAAGTCAACACACGCAACTGGCTGTTTCTTCCACGGGGCGGGCCCTGTTATGGCCAGCAAGGCAGCACTGAGGCTGCAAGTTGTTGTTAAGGACAGCTTGAAGCTGTCCTTGACAGCCAATTCTGCTGTGATGGCGGTGGGCGTGGCGATAAGTGACGAGGATCAATAATTGTTGGCAGTCCTGCGGCAGAAACAACCAATGAGGATTCTTGGCATGCTGCCAACTACGATGCAAGTTTCCATGCGCGTGGGCAGGGCACGAGCGACAACGGGTGTTTGTGGAGGTGTTGTACGTTTTGTCACCACGCGGACTATGGTCTGATTCGCGTTAGAAAACATTCGGTAACAGGGTAGTGTACACCAAACCCTGATTCCGCCAGGGTAAGCTAAAAACCTAGCTGGATAAAATAAAACATGCTCTTTTAAGAGAAGGGTAACTATTTCGCAATCCTGATTTCAGCAGGGTAATCCTGAAAAAGCGGCCGGCCCCCAGGGTAATCAGGGTGTTTTACCCTGATATTTTGGGCCCTGCTCAAGACGCCTACCATAACTATGAGGGCACTTCTTATGGCAAAGGCAGACGGAAGGGAGGCGCAGTGGTGGAAGAGCCACCACCACATGCTTGCTACCCCACCCTCATGCACGTGGAATTCACTCATGCTTGTGAAACTCTGAGCATAAGCAGCAAATTTCTAGGATTCACCATCCAACAAGCACAACATCAGTTGTGCACAAACCATTCAGCAGCCATGCTGGGTCAGATGAGACTCGCGAATCACGAGCGCCATGCTTCCTAGCCACAACTCACTATCTCTCAAGACCCTCCATGCCAGACCACGCCATGCCATACCATGCCAACCATACCATACCATGCCACGCCATACCATGCCATGCCTTGTACTGCGTTGACCTGGAGTGGAGAAGGATGCTACTGTAGAACCGTTGCTCAGCAGCAACATTCAGTGCCAAGCTCCTGCGTTCCGCATTGCATCACTCCTTTGCCAATAAAGAAAAAACTATTCTTACAACCACCAGTTACATTGAAACAAATCCTGTGGCTATGTCTGCTTGCTGGATCCAGTGATATGGCGGTCTATGACGGTGGAAGCAGCAGAGCGGTACCATCCTGATGCTGTCGCCCTTGGGTCCGCCTGCACAGCACATCAGATCCAGCATCGGATACCGTACTTCATCTTCCACCAGCAAAGCCAAGAAGCACGCCCCTCTGCAGAGCATGGCAACAGCAACTTCAACAATCATGCATGGATGCTGTGAACCACCCCACCTGTTGCAGCAGCAGCCAGTCCACAACAGCCTCCTCGCTGCCGCTCTCTTGCCCTTGCCGCGCCTTTGCCTCCCCACCCCCACCCTCATCAAAGCATCTCATGCTTCTCTTCGCCCTCTTCCCTCCCCCCCCACCCCCTTTATCATCCACGCACACCCCCTCCCACCGCCACAGCACCTCCATTCTCGACCCATCACAACCCCTCTCCACCCCTCTGCCCTCCTCCCCCCCTTCACCCCCACCCTTGCTGCGCTCCCCAGCTGCTCCCTCCGCCAGCCCTCCCCCTGCGCCTCCTGTCGCAGCACACCCCCAGCGGTCGCGCTTGGTGTGCTGCAGGCGGTGCCGGGCACGGGAGAGCACCCCAGTGCGCCTGGGTGGTGGGGGGGGGGGGGGGGGGGGGGGCGGGACAGAGAGAAGAGGCAGCCTTGGAGCAAGATGGGAGCAAGATGTGATATGAGTAAGTGGAGAGAGGGGGGAAGGCGAAGGCAGGAGGATGAGCATGAGGAGCACTGAGGGGTATGGGGGGTTATGAGGGGAAGAGGGGTGTGGATGGGGCTGGAACAGGAGGGGGATAGCAGGACAAGGGATGACTGGGCACGGGAGGGCGCGCACCGTTGATGCGCCAGCACGCTGTCTTCAAATGCAGGTGGCAGCAGCTCATTGAAGCACCGCCCCTCGCCCGCCTCCAATGCACCCTCCTCTCCTTCTTCTCCGCCTCTGTCCCCGCGCTCCTCTCCTTGCTCTCCTTGCTCTCCGCCTGGACCCTCGCCTTCCCCCGTCCCGCCTCTGCTTTTCACACCACCTGCCTTCCCTACCTGCTCTGCCGCTCCCCTTTCACCTCCTGGAGATTCAACACTTGGGGTAGCCACATCAGCAGCTTGATCTGCCACATCAGCATGCCTGTCCACGTCAGCAGATGGCATCACGAAGCGATGGCCCACTCGGGACGGCGACGGCAGCAGCTGGGAGGGGGGCGAGGTGTGATGAGAAAGGGCGCAAGGAGAAGCTGTGCGCCTACGCGTGGACCAACAAAACACATGCTTGACGAGGGAGGAGAGGCAATGCGTGACTCTATGGCTTTTGAGGAAGGATCTCCCACAGCACATCAATACGCCCCGCCACCCACTCACAACGGCTCCTTGGCCCGCCTCTGGAGCCCAAGGCACCAAGATTCAACTCAAAAGGAACCGGCTACCATACAGCCGCGGCAGACGCACGGAGAGGATGGAGGGCAGCAGGCGGTGGAAGGCTGCCTGGGAGGCCACGTGGTGGGCCTCGGGAGGCATATTCAAAAGCACCACATAACTGAGACATTGCTTAAGGCACCTTCTGAGGCACCTCCAAAGCAGGCTCGCCTGGATTCATACAGCAGACACACCGCAAGGATGGAGGGCAGCAGGCGGTGGAAGGCTGCCTGAGAGGCCACGTGGTGGGCGCCCGGGAGCAGCAGCGAGCGTGCAAGGCGCGTGAGGGCGCGCGTGAGCTCTGAGAAGCGCTGCCTCACTGTGGCTGGTGGGACTGCCATGGCTGCGCACAGCTCCGCCTCCCCCAGTACCACCCCCCTCGCCCCCGCCACCAGCAGCAGCGCCGCCGCTGCTATCTGGGGGATGGTGGGGGAAGAGGTCAAGGTGGGGTGTAGGACGAGAGGGAGGCAAAGGTTGAGATTGGCTAGGCGTGGTTGAGATGGGCTAGGCATGGGTTGAAATGGGCAGGAAGATGAATGGAAAGCATTACCACAGCAGCACAGAGGCATGGGCGAGGGGAGGTACCGGGGCGGCATGGGCGAGGGGAGGTACCGGGGCGGCATGGCGGCCGGTGTGCAGGGAGAGAGAGTGAGCGAAGGTGAGCAGCCTCATGGCGTCCCCCACTAGCGCCTGCCTCCCCCCCTCGCCCTGCCACTCCTGTGCACGCCATGCCATGGCATGCCATGCCGTGCGGTGCCGTGCCGTGACATGCCATGCCATGCCATGGGCGACGAAGCAGCACATATGAGTGGAAGTAGGAGCTTGAACTCTTGGACACTGTGATAAAAAGGCTGCAGTGCAAGAAGCTCACTGAAAAGAACTGAAGGTGCACTGCAAGGGCCATGATGGCGCAGCATATGCACTCGCACATACCCTGAGTGCAGGCATGGCATGCACCGCCCTCCACACATGGCTGACCAGATCCACCTGCTCCGGCTGCACATGGCATGGCGTGGGGTGGCGTGGCAGAATAAGGGCATGGCAGGGCATGGCATGGGATGCAATGGCATGGGATGCAATGGCATCACGGCCTAATTGCTGAGAACAGGACGTCATCACAGAAGCACCCTCAAAACAGTGCGCAATAGATTTTAGACACAACCAAACAGAGGCAGGCGAAGAGAGAAAGAGATAACGACCGGAAGTACCTGCAGCATTGGGAAGTACGTCATAATGCGCTTGAACATGGCCCACACCGCCGCCAGCTCGCAGTCCGTGGCGTGCTGTGGGGGCAGGGGATGGCACGGGAGGGGATGGGAAGAGGGGAAGGGAGGAGAAGGGAGGGGAAGGGAGGGGAGATAGGAGAGAGGAGGGCAGGAAAGGAGAGGGGTGAGGGGCGCAGTGTAGACCAAGATTAGGAGAGAATCATGAAAGAGGACAAAAAAGGGACAACTCAGCGCCACCTCCCCCATGCCCACCTCCCCCACGGCACTCACCGCCACTTCCCCCATGGACACGGGCAGGCGCCTGTTGCGCGCAGCGATGTACACGGCGGCCGCCATGAGCACGTTCATCCACTGCCCCGAGCCCCACCGCCCCTCCAGCACGCGCTCCGCCACCCCCACCGCGTCCCCCCGCACGCCCTCCGGCACGCGCAGCCCCGCCACCACTGCGCCCAGCCGCTCCTCCCACTCGCGCTGGCGGAGGCGGAGGCGCAAGCACAAGGGGAAGGGGAAATCGCAGGGGAGCGGCGGAAGGGCAGGAGAGGGGCAGACGCTGGTTGAAGGGTGGGTGCGGGAGAGGCTACTGTGAGCGTGAGAATGAGGTGGTGTTGGACTCCCTCGGAGCATCTGAGCATACCCCGGCAGGTTCACCCTGAGAAATCAGCGGTGATCAAACGGACGGAAGTGCCGCAGCATAAGGACCAGCGGAGTCACACCTTGTTCTTCCGCCTCTTGAATTCCGCCGACTTCCCTCCGCCTCCCCACTTCGTCTCCGCCCCCTCCCGCCACCCGCCGCCGCCAAATCGCCCCCCGCCCGCCCCCGCCGTCCACATCCACGAGCGGGGCTCTCCGCCATCCCCCCCGCCTCCCCCGCCGCCAACGCGCACGCCGCCAGCCCGCCCGAGCTCGTCGAACTCCACGCGCGACGTGAGCTGCGCCTCGTCCGCCACGTGGCCGCATCGCGCGCACACGAGCGCCAGCGCCTGGTCATCGTAATCCACTGCGCGCTCTCCGCACTGCGCGCACTCCTCCATCCTTGCGCCCCTGCGCCTCCTGCGCGTCTAGCCCTTCCAGTACCTCTGCGGCCCGCACTCGCTGCGGTTTGGCAATAAGATTAACTCGGTCAGGCGAGTTGGGATGCAGGGAGAGAATACATGTGATTGCAGGGAAAACATGTGGGAGACGAATAATTATTTGTTGGAAAGGTTTGTCATAACTGAATGTCAATAAATTGCAAAATGTCGCAGCTGCTAGGTTTGTCAGAGATTGTAGTAACGCGGATAAGGAATCCAACCGAAGCATCACACCGACCACAGATTTCCGTCCTTCCGCTTGCTCCATCCCTCTGCACCACACGTTTAGATTCCAGCCGTCCATTGTTGAATTCGGTCTCAGAACCAGGACTTGACTTCTCCCGCTTCTAGCAACACAAACCCATTCATGCCTGACTCGCGTCCGCCATTGCTTGACTCTTCTCCTGACCCTTACTCTTACCTTAACCCTTGCTCTAACAGTACCACATGTCGCTAGACCACCGTAGCCCACCAGATCCGCCGCAGTTGGCGGCGGATTCCTCGCAGGCAGACACGCTCAGCAGCGAATCCCGCAGCGCCTCGTTCGACACCCCCGAGGCCCGACGGGTCGACGAGGTCGCTGAGCTGGCGAGCCGCATTGCAGCGAGTGGCGATGCGGAGACATCCGTCCCTTCCTCATCAAGTGGGAATACGGGCGACGCGCGTAACGGTTCGTCATTTAGTGACCATGCGACAGGAGAGAATGCTCCGGCGAACGATCAACAGCGACCAACGAGGCGACGGGGAGGCTGGCTCGCAGCCGTCGCAGGGGTGCTCGTGCGTTCTCCGCTCGGGGCTCTCTGTCGCACCCTGGGTCGCTCGGTCCGTCGCACAGTCGCACGCGATGGCGCTTTGAGCGCCGCCCTGAGTCGATCCGTCGGCGGGGCTTTGAGCTTGTCGCACGCCGCGACGTGGTTCGCGGTGCGAGTAGTGGCGGTTAAATTGCTAAGGAAGCCTGTACGCGCTATAGGCCCGCCGCTACTGTGGCCCGCGCTGCACGTAGTGGCAATAATGCACCTGGAGGCGCGACTCAGTCGGGGGAAGGGTGGCGGAAGGGCAGGGGGAGGGGGAACGGTAGGGGGAGAGGTGGTGGCGGGAAGGGGAGCGGGGGGAGAAGTGGAGGCGGAAACGTTGCTGAGGGAAATCGGGGGACCGTTGGAGATGGTCGGTCGTGTTGTGACGGTGACACGTGGCGGGACGTGGATGATCATGGAGGTAAGCGGTGCGAAGTGTATGAGCCTGGGCTGCTTGCAAGGGCATGGGGTGGGAAAAAGGGAGAAGTGCAGTACGAGGAAGGGATCTGGGATTGCATGTGGAACGTTGGGATATAACATGTAGGATGAAGCAACGTAAGGAGGAATGCAGGAGGATTTGAACAGCGTTACTGCTGCTCGCTTATCTTCTGCTCCCTCTCACGCTCATCCCCTTCCCGTCCACCCTCCCTCCCTCCCTCCTCCCTCCCTCCCTCCTCCCTCCCTCCCTCCCTGCGTCCTGCCACCGCACAGACGTTCGCCGCGCCGCTCCTCGTCTCCACGCTCTCCGCCCTCCTGCCCTTCCTCCTCCTGGCCCGCCCCTCCTCCCGCGCGCCCCCCAAGGATCCTCCGCACATGCTCCCACCTCCGGTCGAGCCCCGCCCTTCCCTCTCAGCAGCACGCGCAATAGCGCGCGCATCAGCGCGAGCAGCGGCGGCAGCAGCGGTAGCGGCATCACCAGAAGGGGCTGGATCAGTGGCAGGGGCTTCGTCAGTGTCAGACTATTCTCTCGACGGCTCTCCTGCTGCGTCTGACACGGCATCATCAGCATCCCCTCCCTCCTCTCGCCCTTCCACTCCTCCTCCCCGTGCTGCTGTCCTTCCCGCCCTCCCTTCCCCGCCCTCTCCCGTGCTCTCTCCTGCCGACCTCGTTCTGATCCAAGACGTGCGATCAGCGCTTGAAGATGCTGACGTGGACACGCAAGAATGGTGAGAGAGTAGTCCGGTCAGCATGTCGCGAGTCCGGGTGTGTCTGAGAATGTCTTCAAGCGTCCTTCCAGCGTGCTCGTCCCGTGCTTACTGCTCCGCTTCACAGCACCGCCACCCAGTGCTCAGGACATCTGTGCTCAAGCCGTATTTGCTGAACCTGTGTTGCCTTTTCCCCCTCCCCATGGACCCACCCGCCAACGCCCCCAACTCCCGTTCCTTCATGCTCCCCCTTCCCGCACCCTCCGTCATGCCCCTCCCTCACTTCTGCGCCCTCTCCCTCACATGCTCTTCTTCCGTGCCCTTTCCCCCGCACCCCCCCCTCCCACACCCTCCCCCGCGCCCTCTCCCCCCTCCTTCCCCCCGGGGCAGGCTGACGGACGACACAGTGCTGCGCTATGCAGTGCCAGGCAAGCGCCACGTGGCAACAATGGTGAACCGCATCCGCGCCACTGCCACGTGGCGCCGCTCCTTCCACCTCCTCTCGCCGCCTGAGGTGCTCTGCTCGCCCTGGCGCCCGTTCGGCTACTGGCACGGCGCGGACGTGGACGGCAGGCCTTGTCTTGTTCTGCACATTGGGCGGGCGACTAAGGCCATTCCATCTGCCTTCCATGCCGATTTTGTCTCCTACCTGGGTGAGCCGCCCTTCCCTCTTGCGCATCATCATCCCTCGATGACCAGCCTTCCCACTTTCTCCTCGTTTCAGTGACCGTCCTTTCCCTCTCTCGCCGCCTCCCAGCCTGTCCCCTCACCCCCACGTGCTTCCTCCACTCTCTCCCATCATCCCGACCCACCACATCACTGCATCCCTATGCCACCCTCAGCACAACATTTCAGCCTCTCCCTCCCCTCCTGTTTCACTCCCCCGGTTCTCAACCTCCCCTTTTCTTCCTGTCAGCGTCCCTAGTGAGCGCCGTGGCAGCATCCCTCACCCTGGCATGCCCTGACAGCGGGCGCATAGCCGTCATTCTGGACTGCCAGGGCGCGCCTGCCTTGTGGCACCTGCCGGTGGGGCTGCTGCGCGCCACCATCACCACTCTGCACCGCAACTTCCCACACCGCATGGCCCGCCTGCACGTGCTGCACCTGCCGTCCGCTCTGCGCCTCCTGGCTCGCGCCATGCTGCAGGTGGGGGAGGGGGAGTTTTGTGGGTGGGGAAGGGAGGGGGAGGGGAAGGGGGGAGGGCGGGGGGGGACGGGGGGGGTGGGGTTGTTTTGGTGGAAATGGGTGGTGCTGCAGGTGGAGGAGGTGGGGGTAATGCTGTGGCTGCTGGTGAGGGCGCCTGTTTGACTATTTTCCAGTGAGTTATCGTGTGTGAGGCAGTTGGGTTGGGCTGTTCTTCTCCCATTCAGCTCACTTTCTCTCTCTCATGCCATCCATTGCGCTCGCTCCTTCTTGCCCCCCTTCCCTCTCTCCTCCCCTCTCCCCCAGCTGCTGAGCTCAACCACACGCAGCAAGATACAGATCATTGGTGGAGGATCTTCTGCCACGTCATCACTCTCCGATCTCTTCGGGCTCCAAGTCAGCGTGCCAGCTAGGCTGGCAGGCGGCTGCATTTGTGCGGTGTGCTGCGATGCAGAAGCAGAGGGAGAGACAGGGGGGGGAGGAGGGCCCAGGGTGGAGCAGAGGCATGGGGAGAGTGGGGGAGAGGCGGGTGCTGCAGCACAGGCAGGAACGGCAGCAGAGGTAGCCAGAGGCGCAGGAGCAGGCTTATCAGGTCCTTGTGACTCGCTTCCACTGGAGCACCCTTATAACGGCATGATCGATTCCGCCACCTGCATATCTTCACCCGTGCTACCCTCCACCCCTCAGCAACCCTCGCCCCAGCAGTTGCCACCGCTGCATGCGTCACCCCAGCAGTTTTCGCCTATGCGGCCCCGCCGCTCCCCCCTTGTCTGTGCTCTACGCTCAGACAGAGGGCGGGCAGTGTCGCATGGGGTGGAGTGGGCAGAGAGGCGGTGGGTGAGCCGGCACGTGGTGTGGAGGATGCTGCTGCTACTGCTCATGGCCCTCACTCTCACCGCCCTCTGCCTCTGCTCCGCTGCTGCCATGGGTAGCTACTCTTACTAAACGGCCGGCAGTGTTCGTGTACTGTTATACAGTTGAGTGTATAGTCACTCATCCATACGTGGTGTGGAGAAGTGGAGGTCCTAAAATTAGATGCTGGTGCATCTGACATGATGATCGTACGGTATTCCGTACCATCATGATGAGGGTGGTTCTTGCAAAAACGAAACAATATTCTCTTAATATTTGTACTAATTGCGAAAAGTTAATGTTGGATAAAAATGTATGTCGTTTCTGTGTTTTATGATGCCGACATAAGCATGAATATCGCATACAATTTATAGAGACTGCGTGATGATAGATGGGAAACTTGCGGCGATTATCCAAAATGGCGTTCCTGGACACCTGCAGCAGAAGTCTCCCGCGCAGAACATTCAAATTCTGCGCTTCGTCTGTACACCTAGACCCCAGCCCAGCGCTGTATAGCGGCTGCTTTGAACTCCATGCCGGTGGCGAAACTCGTCTGAACCCAATTTCCTCGAGTTACTCCTTCGTCATTTGCTCGCGAAATGTTTGCGCCGTTCTGTGTGGCGGGAGGAGACCAGCGGAAGCCTCTGTTTTGGCGACTCCCTCTCGCCTGTCGTCGCCTCCCTCCAGCAAGTCCATGCAGCCTCCCTGAGACCAAGTCAACCCGGCGAAATTCCCAAGACTGTTCCAGTCACGTCTGCCGAATTCTAGTCTCTCCATTCCTATCATTGATTCTCTAGTCAGCGTTAGCTCGTGCTTTCTCAGCTCGCCATGGCTGCTGTCGAAATCTCTCAGAGGTGTAGCCTATTGCGATTATATCATATTCTTAAGAAGATTTATGACAGTAGTAGCTTATCTCGATAAGTCTGTCCCAGTGGGAGAACTGGTTGGCTGATGTTAACTGCTCGCCTCTTTCCTTATATGTAAGGAATCCCGGTTATAACCGCGATACCTATGATTCGTAACCGTTTAGTTTCCGCAACGCTACTTACGTTAAATCTCATTATTTAGATTCGGAAAAACTGAGTATCATTAACCGGTACTTTCATGTCGGCAAACATGATCCGTGACGGCTCGTTCCTGATAAGGTTTCCACCCCTCTAGTTGAAGCGCATGTCGCTTCCGTTCCGTTTAAGCGTCGTTCCGAAATGGTCGTACGTCCAACTACTCGTCGATGCCTGCTATGGTCGCCGATACCCGAACGTTAAGTCAAGGCATTATGATACGTGAAGCAGCACCGTGCCAGGAATGACATACGAGCCGCTTCTGTTAGCATCTTCAGGCAGCACCGGAGGCACGGAGTGTTATTACGGCAGTTTCCAACAGGGTCGACGGCTTTCACGTCAGATTGGCGCCGTAATGGACAGAATCGAGAGTCAATCTTAAGTATCAAGGCGACCGGCATCCAGCGTCCGTAATGATCAACGAGTATCATCATCATCCTGACCTTCGGGACGACGGAAGCAGTCTCAAGGCAACCGGCATCCGGCGTCACGGTGACTCACGGCGACACAGTGACACACGACACACTGTGTGCGACCTTCCGCGTGCAACTTCGTGTGGATGCTGGCGACTGCATGCGACGATGTGTGGAAGATGGCGAAGAACCGCGTGCGACGTTCCCTGTGCGACGGTGTGTGGACGATTACGACTTCACGCGGCTGACCGTGTGTGGAAGACGGCGGCCAGCCGCGTACGGTGTGCGAACGATGGCGACTTGTGCGACGTTCCGCATGCGGCGCCGTGCGGATGCTGGGCGACATAGCGCATACGACGATGTGCGACAAACGGCATGCGACGTACCGCGGGCGATGTTCCCCGTGCGACGGTGTGCGGATGATGGCGACTTACCGCGTGCGACGGTGTGCGGATTTTGGCGACTTACCACGTGCGACGATCGGCATGCGACGATGTGCGACGAACGGCATGCGGCGTATTGCGCGCGACCGTGCGGAAGATGGCGGTATGCGACGTACCGCGCGAGTCCGTTTGCGAAAGATGGCGACTAATTACGTGCGAGGCCGTGCGGATGATGGCGACGTACCGCGTGCGATCGTGTGCGGAAGTCGGCGACCAACTGCGTTCGACCTTCCGCGTGCGACGTTGTGCGACTGGCGACATACTGCATGCGACTGTGCGCGGATGCTGGCGACGTCCCGTGTGCGATTGTGTTCGGAAGACCCGCGTGCGACGGTGTGCGGAAGTTGGCGATTTACCGTGTGCGACGATAGGCGTGCGGCGTTGTGCGGATGCTGACTACAAACCACATGCGACGATGTCCGACGAGTGCCATGCGACGTACCATGTGCGTCCGCGCGCGTCCGTGTGCGGAAGGTGGCGACTGATTGCGTGTGAGGGCGTGCGATGTACTTCGCGTGACAAAGTGCGGATGCGGATGATCAGCTTCAACACTCTCCTGTAGCTAAGTCTCCTCGCACTCCTCCTTCGCTCTCCCCGTCCGTCGTTTTTACTTTGCCAGATTGTCACCTCGTATCCCTTGCTTGGCGCATGCTGGTGGTGGTCCATGGTGCTATGGCAGCAGAGCTCATGTAGAGTGTAGTGTAGTGGGAGTGGTGGGAGAGAGGAGAGGAAGAGAGGGAGTGCATTCATGCCATGCGTGCGTCCCAGTCCCCCTCGCTGGCTCAGCTCGCTGCTGTAGTGCTGTGGGCCACTGTCGCCATGCGCCTTCCCCCCCCACCCCTCCCCAACCACTCGAGACTCTGCTGTTGCAAGCTCCAATTCATTCTCATTCTTGCTCTCCACGACCTCTGCTCTCTTTCCCACCTTGACATGTTTTCTGCTACGTAACATTCCAAGTTCTCTCTGCCTGCCCTCTCGCTGTTCCTTCTCCCTCCATCCATCTTCTTCCCTCAGGCCGAATCGAGCGTGGCAGAGCACCAGAGCAACAGCACGTGTAGCAGCAGTCAACATCAGCTGTCAACAGCCAGGCAACACCAGAGCGGGCCTGCGATCGGAGCCAACTGCGGGAAGCAGCGGTGCCAACTGCGGGGAGTGGCGCTGCCAACTGCGGGGAGCGGCGGTGCCAACTGCGGGGAGCGGCGCTGACGTGGTGAATGGCGAATCAGAACGTGTCGAGAAATTGCGGCGAGTGCGGAAAACAACGATCGGCACGCAACGAGCAGCTTCTGAACCCAGCTAAGTTCCCTCCTCAACCCTTACACCACTCTGTTGTGTTGCTACAACACTCCACCCTCCCCCCCACGCCCTCTTGTCGTTGCACCACTGTGTTGTGTTGTGTTGTGTTGTTGCAACCCGTGTTTCTCGTCCCGTTACCCTGTGCACACGTGTTCCTGTGAGGCGCATGACAGCGGTGGGTCAGGGCGCATTATGGCAGCTGAGCTCATGTAGAGTCCACTCCAGTCCAGAGAGTCCAGTGGGTGTGGCTTAGGATAGAATCTCATTCATGCCATGCGCGCGTCCCCAGTCACCCCACGCTGCCTCAGCTCGCTGCTTCGGTGCCCTTGGCCCACTGTCGCCATGCGCCTTCCACACTCACTTATAACTCACTTGTTGCTCGTTCGTTCGTTCGTTCGTTCGTTCGTTCGTTCGTTCGTCTCGATTGTTTTCTTCGACTTGCTTTCTTGCCGGAAGTTGGTTTCACCTGCTCTTGCTCTCTGCGACCTGTTCGTGCTCTCACTGCCACTCGGTCTTGTGCTCTCTGCCGTTGTGCCTGGTTGCTCCTTGTGCAGAGCCAGCAGAGGGCGGCAGTGGGATGATGCACGGCGGGCAACACGGCTGTGCGTGCCCTGCTGACCACTGCTCGCCTCTCAGGCGGGAGCAGAGCAGACTCAAGGAGGCACACAAACGCGGGGCAGGGGGCGCAAGGAGCGCATGCAAGGGGAGCACGCCTGCATGCTCCTTCGACCCTCGTCAATCCGGCTAAGCTATCTCACTCAATTCGCACTGTGCACGCACCACTCACTCGCTCCCACTCGTGCCTTGCACTGCTTGCTTGCACTCTCGCCCTCCTCCTCCTCTCGCCGCTCTCACGGGCGGCACCAAGGGACCCTCCCCAGGTGTGTGACAGCAGGTAAATGCGTCAGGTGTGGTAAGGTACGGTATTGTCCTTGGTGCCCGCCCTGCTGCTGCCACCACCCGCTTCCACCCACCATTGCCACCGCCACTCACGCCACTCACGCACTCTCACTGCTTGCATTCTTCCATTTTTCCTTGCTTGCATGCGTGCCGCTTTTTCCGTTCTGTCACTTTGCATACGCCATGCTAATCGCCTTCTTTCTCACCTCCCTTCTCTGCTCCGTCCACTTGCTTCCCTCTTCTCCTCTCCTCCTGCCAGCATCCCTCTTCCTCCTTCCCGCTGCCAGCACACCTTCAGGCCGGCAGCAGCAGAAAGCATGGGGGAGCAGAGGAAGCAGCGTGAGCGAGTGGGAGAGGCGAGTGGTGGGATGACGCACGGCCTGGGCTGGCCCTGCTGACCACTGCCCTCGCCCAACCTCCCGGCAGAACCAGCGCGACCGACCGTGCCGTCTCTGAGTGGTGCTGCGGCAGCAGGGGGAGTGTGCCGGCAAGGAGAGGCGCCCGGCCGTGTGGGTGCCGCACGCATGCAAGGGGAGCACGCCTGCATGCTCCTTCGACCCTCGTCAATCCGGCTAAGCGATCTCACTGAAATGGACTGTGCACGCACCACTCACTCGCTCCCACTCGTGCCTTCCACTGCTTGCTTGCACTCTCGCCCTCCTCCTCCTCTCGCCGCTCTCAAGGGACCCTCCCCAGGTGTGTGACAGCAGGTAAGTGCGTCAGGTGTAGTAAGGTACGGTATTGTCCTTGGTGCCCGCCCTGCAGCTGCTGCCACCCGCTTCCACCCACCATTGCCACCTTCGTTTATTTCTTGCTTGCATGCGTGCCGTTTTGCCGTTCTGTCACTCTGTGTGCGCCATGCTAATCGCCTTCCTTCTCACCTCCCTTCTCTGCTCCCTCCACTTGTTTCCCGCTTCCCCTCTCCTCCTGCCAGCATCCCTCTCCCTGCTTTCCTCTGCCTACACCCCTCTGCCAGCACATCTACAGGAAGGCAGCAGCAGAGTGCATGGAGGAGCAGGAGAGTGGGAGAGGCGAGGGCGTGGGCGTGACGCTAGTGGATGGAGCGAGTGGGAGAGGACGAGGGCGCGTGGAGCGAGGAGGATGACGAGGGCGGATTGCTGACTCAGTGAACGGGCGGTGGAGGCGGATCAACGATGGCCTGCAGAGCGAGCAGGAGGCGCGGTAGCAGCAGCTACACGCGAGGGAGGAGGGAGGCGGGTTGGAGTGCGGAGGAGGAGGGAGCAGCAGGTGTCACCAGCAGCGCCTTCTTTTCACAAGGTATGGGGTTGAGGGAGTGGAATATTTTTCGCTCTCTTTTCGCATGCGTTTTGTTTCCTTGTATGTTTCAATTTCTGCTTTGCTTTTTAAACCACAGGCGCGCTTGTCTTGGTGCCTTGTGCACCCATCTGTCCAACTACTAATATTCCTTCCCTCTGTGCCTCTTTTTGCTCTATGGAAGGGCAGCGCGCATGCAAGAAGAGGGCGAGCGTGGTGGGATGACGCACGGCCGGCCCTACCCGCCCTGCTGACCACCCGCTTGCGAGGGTGAGGGTGGCGCTGCAACGCAAGCGCATGGAGCGAGGCGAGGAGGACGACAAGGGCGGATGGAGAGAGGGCGGATGACGAGGAACACGCAGTGAAGGCGGCGGACGCGAGACAACAATCAGCTACAGGCGACAACAAAACCAAATGAGCTTCCTTACCCTTGCCTCTCTCGATCTATCTCGCTCTATCTCGCTGTCTTTCTCGTTTCTCTTTGACATATCACCGACGCTCTTCACAGAGGCGACAGCCACGGCAGCCTCCTTTTATGGATGTGAGTGCATCAGTTGGTTTGCGTTGACTTGTCTCTGATTTTTTGCCGACGATGGCTGCGGGTGCAACGCCCACCACCGATTTCTCTGGATGTGAGTGCAACTCCTATGACATACTCCCTGGATGTGAGTGCAACTCCGGCGACACGCTCTCTGGATGTGAGTGCAACTCCGGCGACACGCTCTCTGGATGTGAGTGCAACTCCTTCGACACGCTCTCTGGATGTGAGACGCAATCCGTGGGCGGATTGAGTGAAGCTCTCTCAGGAGGTTTCAAGGCACGGCGGATGGAACGAGGAGAAGAGCGAGAGAGGTGGGATGACGCACGGCCGGCAGGCAGTAGCATGTGGGTGCCTCCTACCCGCCCTGCTGACCACCCGCTTGCTGGCGGCACGCGAGGCGAGGCGGATGGAGCAGGGATGGAGCGAGCAAAGCTCGTTGTTCCCTTGCGTGTTCTCCCACCTGCACCCTTGGGGTGAGGTGGAGGTGTGAGAGGGAGAGGCTGATAAGCTGAAGGAGGGGGTACTTGGAGGGAGAGGCTGTCGTATGTGGAAGGGAGTACAAAGCTGCGTGAAAGGTGTGTCTGAGTGGTGATACTTTGATTGGAGGTGGGACCTCCCTCTCATTGCTCTCCTCTCACTCTCCCTCTTGCCCAACAGAGCCGCGGTAAGTGTGTGTTGGATGCGTTCTGAGAGTGGTGGCTGCAACCCCACTCTTTGGTTCTCATCCTCCCGCTTGTCCCACCGCTTGCTCAACTCACCCTACGCATACTTCACCTCACACTACCCAGTCAACTCCTCTTTTGCCCCTTTCGAAGGGAGTATCAGCAACGCCTGCCTTGAGAAGGGAGTATGGATGGGTCCGAGGGAGTGCAGTGCGGTGCCATCAGCAGCGCCTGCCTTGAGAAGGATATATGGGTCCGAGGGAGTGCAGTGCGGTGCCATTAGCAGCGCCTGCCATGAGAAGGGAGTATGGATGTGTCCGAGGGAGTGCAGTGCGGTGCCATCAGCAGCGCCTGCGTTGAGAAGGGAGTATGGATGAGCCCGAGAGAGTGCAGTGCGGTGCCATCAGCAACGCCTGCCTTGAGAAGGGAGTATGGATGGGTCCGAGGGAGTGCAGTGCGGTGCCTTCAGCAGCGCCTGCCTTGAGAAGGGAGTATGAAGAACGTTTCTTTGTTTCTTATTGCATTTGTGTTTTTTCCTCGTCGCGTGTTTTGGTTTTGTTTTGTATTCTGTTTTCCCGTAAACCCTCACCACCAACTTATCTTTCTTTCACAACGGAGTATGGGACTCAGGTAGGGGGAAATTTTTCCGCTCTGTTTCCTCATGCGTTTCGTTTCCTTGTCGCATGTTTCAATTTCTGCTTTGTTTTTTGCATTCTCTTTTTGCTTGCATCTTCACCAGCAACTTATCTTTCTTTCCTTAGATCCCCCTCTTGCATTCCTGTATGGCAGGGCGCATCATGGCGAAGTGGAGAGCTGGTGGGGGCGGCTGCAGAGCGGGAGGCGCGGCAGCAGCAGCTACACGGGAAGGAGGGAGGCGGGTTGCAGTGCGGAGGAGGAGGGAGCAGCAGCTGCCAGCAGCAGCGCCTTCTTTCAGAAGGGAGTATGGGGCTCAGGGAGGGGACCAATTTCCGCTCTGTTTTCACATTCATTTCGTTTCCTTGTCGCATGTTTCAATTTTTGTTTCGTTTTTTGCATTCTCTTGACCAGCCACTCACCTTTCTTTCCTTAGCTCCCCCCTTTTGCATTCCTGTACTGCAGAGCAGGAAGCGCGACAGCAGCAGCTAAATGGGAGGGACGGGGGAGGCGGGTCAGAGTGCGGAGGAGGAGGGAGCAGCAGCTGTCACCAGCAGCGCCTTTCAGAAGGGAGTATGGGGCTCAGGGAGGGGACCAATTTCCGCTCTGTTTTCGCATTCATTTCGTTTCCTTGTTGCATGTTTCAATTTCCGTTTTGTTTTTTGCATTCTCTTCACCAGCCACTCACCTTTCTTTCCTTAGCTCCCCCCTCTTGCATTCCTGTACTGCAGAGCAGGAGGCGCGGCAGCAGGAGGGACGAGGGAGGCGGGTCAGAGTGCGGAGGAGGGAGCAGCAGGTGTCACCAGCGCCTACTTTCAGAAGGGAGTACGGGGCTCAGGGAGGGGAAAATTTCCGCTCTGTTTTCACATGCTTTTCGTTTCCTTGTCGCATTTTGTTTTGTTGTATGCATTCATTCTTCCTTAGATATAACGAAATTAAATTTTCTTCCTTAGATCCTCCTCTTGCATTCCTGTATGGCAGGGCGCATCATAGTGGAGTTGAGAGCTGGTGGGGGCGGCTGCAAGGACGGGCGGTGCGGCAGCAGCAGCTACACGGGAGGGAGGAGGGAGGCGGGTTGGTGAGGGGTGAGGGGTGGGGTCCTTGTGTGCTGTTCTTGAGGCGCCTCAAGACAGCTGTGAACTGCCGGTGGCGGTTCTGTTCTGTTTACTGCAGTGCACTGCCGCTTGTCGTTCTGTACCCGTTCCGTCAGTCTGTCCGTTTGGGAGACGTCTCAAAACTCGTGTTCTCCTCACTGCAGAGTCGCTGCAGTGAGCAAACTCTGGGTTTTGGGATACGCCTCAAAACCCAATTCTCTTGTTCCTCACAGCAGCCTAACTGCAGTGAGCAAAATTACACAGCTGGTCGGCCAGCAATGCTGGGCTGCAAGGACGGGCAGCACCTGCTTTGAGGATGATTTTCATCTGCCCCCGGGCAGTCTGCATTGTGTTTTTTCTCTCTCTCCCCCCCCCAACAGGGTCCTAAGCGATGGTTCCCACCTCACCGCGGTGCTTGGGTGTAACGTCAGGAGCTCTGTGTAAGGAATTTTCCGGATTCCTTACTGGGTCACACTGTACGCGTACAACTCCGACTTTCGGAAAACCAGGCTCGGCCCGCCGACCTCGCCTTCCGAACCACCACCGCGTCGCTTTCCGTTTTTCCAACCCCGAACCTACACCCAACCATCCCGCGACCCCGCGACCTCGGCCTAGCTAACTTTGCTATATTATGCCTAGGCCTCGTTGTTCATTCAGACGTTGTAATCACTTCCGCAATATTGAGTTCTGCGCACTCTTTCCTTTCACAACTTATAACACTTGGTATCAGAGCCTAAAGTCCTAGGTTACCCTCACGTTTCCGGGGTAGTTTGTAGAAGGGGAGCGATAGACTTGGTGGGCTGTTAAGCGGTCGGCCCGCGGAATAGATCTCTTTATTCCACTCTGACTACGATAGCATTGACGCCTTCACCGAAGTCAAAAAAATCGCGAGCCACCCCCTGCCCGTTCGACGAAGCCCGAGGCACATGGAGCAGGCCGAGTTCAACGAGTTCCTGCAACAGTTCCGTGCGATGCAGGCCAACTTGCAGGGTATGACTGCAGAGATGGAGCGTCTACGGAAGGAAAACGCTGAACTACACCAGGCGCGTGGTGAAGCGCGCCAGGAGTCGCCTGTCGTGGACGACGCAAGTAGCAGCACTACACCAGATGAGCGGGTCTGGAGCGAGCTGGAAGGCGAGATGGATGCGGATGAGGCGAGGCAGGCGCAGCAGGAACAGTCGCCACAACAGTCGCGTGCAGTACCGCCACGTGCAGCAGCGACGACGACGGCGACGCCAGCAGCAATGCCAACGGCCCCGATGGCAGCAACGGCTTTCGTGAAAATCAAGCCGACAAACCCGCCCCCGTTTAACCCGAGGGATAAGTTTGTCACTGTTTCTGCGTGGTTGTTCGGTGTGGAGGTGTTCTTTAATGCTGCTATGATTTATGACGACGCCACCCGCATTAATTTCGCAGTTTCACTGTTGCGAGGACCTGCGCTGGAGTGGTGGAGGCGAACGCTGCAACACAAGGGGACTTCGGCAGGAACAGCACGTGCGAACGACGGGACTTCAACACCTGTCACGCATCAGGCAACATCAATTTTTGGGACGGCCACGATACGCACATGGAAGGAGTGGGGCGCCGCCTTGCAAACCAGATTCGAGCACATATCCGCCTCGGACTCTGCTCGCATGCAGCTGCGTACCTGGAAGCAGCTGACTTCAGTCCAAGACTACACCAACAAATTCTGCAACTTGGCGGACCAGGTGGACGACACGAGCGACGCAGAGCGGTTGGATCGCTACGTGGCGGGCCTGAAATACGAGATACAATACGAGGTCCGACGAACCCGGCCACGAAGCTTCAACGACGCCGTCCGGGAAGCCGAGTCAACGGATGCGCTGATGCAGTGGGCGAGATCGAGCTCCCGGGAGGGCCCTCGATTTCGTGGACTGACTCAGCAAGCCACGATCAACGGCGTGGATGCATCGAGCTGAGCCCTTGGGCCGTGCTTTTTATGCAACCAGCTGGGCCACCTTAAAAAAGACTGCCCGAGGCTTAAGCAGGGGAAGAAGAACGACGGAGAAGGGTCGGGAAAAGATACGAGTCAGTAGCAGACGGGCCACCTACTGACGAGACCCTTTCGCCCGATAATCACCATCCACACCGGGTCGTGGTACCGATCAGAGCTATCGACCAGTATCGGACGAATAACGTGGGTGAACACGTGGACTACCCTGTGCTGGTGGTAGGGAGGGTTAACGGTTATAAGATAAAAATCTTCGTTGACGGTGGGGCGAGCCACAGTCTCGTCAACCTGGCAACGGCCAAAAAAATTGGGGTGAAGTTGACCAGGTGTCTGCCGGAGATCGATGCAAGGTTGGTGGACGGAACACTGCTGGCCATCCGAGATGAGGCGCAAAAAAATCGGATACAGTGCAGCGACAATTTCGGGTTTGGCATGAAAATGTTGGCGACGACGTTGGACGGCTGCGACGTGCTGCTGAGGAGGGATTGGCTGCAGCGTTTCAACCCGTCGATCGACTGGACGACTGGGACGTGCGTCGTGCGAGGATACGGAGGGAAGACAACGCTTCCGAAATGGACGGAGCCGGAGCCGGTGACGACACGTGTCAACGCGGTCAACATGCAGCGTGCGATGAACGGCGGAGCTCAGGCCTTCTTGGTGCATCTGTACGAGGTGGCAGCTTCCGAAAAAATCGCGGACATCGACACCCTCTGCGTGGCAGTTCCCGAGGAATTGGCGAGCATCATTCGGAGGTATCCCGAAATTTTCGCGGATGACCTCCCGGATGGCTTGCCCCCCCAACGACCTGAAGACCATCGGATCCAGCTGGAGCCAGGGGTGCAACCCACTGTTCGGTCACAGTGGCGGCTCAGCCAACCAGAGCTCGCCAAATTGCGAGCCCAACTGGATTACCTATTCGCCAAGGGATTTATCCGACCCAGCACGTCGCCGTATGCAGCACCGATACTGTTCACGCCGAAGAAGGACGGTGGCCTACGCATGTGCATTGATTATCGAGCGCTGAATCGGGTCACGATAAAGTCGCGTTACCCGATCCCACGAACCGACGATCTGCTGGATCATCTTCGCGGAGCTCGGTATTTTTCAAAAATCGACCTGCGAGGAGGCTACCACCAAATTCGCGTGTTCGCCGACGACTGCCCGAAGACAGCTTTTCGCACACGCTACGGTAGTTACGAGTTCACACTGATGCCGTTCGGCTTGACAAACGCGCCCTCGACGTTCCAGCTCACCATGAATGGAATTTTTCGAGACATGCTGGACAAGAAGGTCATCGTGTACCTGGACGATATCCTGGTGTACAGCGCGACAAAAGAAGACCATCTGCAGGATTTAGAGGAGGTGTTCCGGCGCTTACAAGAGCATCGGCTAATTACAAAGGGGTCTAGGTGCGAGTTTCTGAAGCCGGAATTGGAATTTTTGGGACATGTGGTCTCTGGCGACGGGATTAAAATCGGCCCGCGTAAAGGAGACGCCATCGTTAAGTGGAAACCGCCTACTAACATTCCTGAGTTGCAAAGTTTTTTGGGGTTTGTTAACTACGTCCGTCGTTTTGTACCTAACATGGCAGGGATAACCAAGCCGCTGACCGACCTGCTGCATCACGACAGTAATTTTCGGTGGGGGGAGAGGGAGCAATCCGCCTTCGACGCTCTCAAAAACATTTTGGGTTCACCCCCGGTACTCCGCCTCGCCGACCCATCTTGACCGTTCGAAGTCGTCACGGACGCCAGCGATTTTGCCGTCGGCGCCGTCCTACTACAGGATTTCGGCCAAGGGCTGCAACCCATCGCCTACGAGTCACGCAAGATGCAGCCACCCGAGCGTAACTACCCAGTCCACGACAAAGAGATGCTGGCCATCGATCATGCATTTCGTGTATGGTGCTGCTACCTCACGGGAGCCGATGTGACAATTCGAACCGACCACAAGTCACTAAAGTACATGCGCACACAACCGACACTCAACCCGCGACAAATTCGGTGGTTGGACTTCCTCGAGTCCAATTTCCGGTACACCATCACGTACAAAAAGGGCGCCAACAACATTGCCGACGCCCTTACCCGACCAACCATGCAAAACGCGGTGGTACTAATCGCCCACACTAACGCGATGCTGACGGGACTATTCACCCACGGCTACAAGATCGACAGGTTTTTTCGGAACCCGCAACAACAGGCTGCTACACCGCACGGCAAATACTACCTAAAAGCCGGTACGAACCGGATTTGGGTACCAGCATACAAGCCTTTACGAGAGCTGCTGACGCAGGAGGTTCATGACTCCAACCTTTCCGGGCATTTCGGCACCGATAAAACACTGAAGCTGCTGCAGCGGAATTATTACTGGCCGGACATGCAGACCGATGTACAGCGCTACGTGTCAACTTGCCCGACCTGCCAAGCAATGAAGTCGTCGCGACAAAGGCCAGCCGGACTGCTGCAACCCCTCGCGCCACCCGAACGACCGTGGCAACAGGTGACGATGGATTTCGTCACGGGGCTCCCAGCTGGCGCAAGTGGCAACGACTCGGTGCTGGTCATCGTCGATCGCCTAACGAAGATGGCGCATTTCGCCCCATGCCGAACGACGATCACAGCCCAAGATACAGCCAAACTGTTCATCTCCACCGTCGTACGCCTACACGGGTTACCTTCGGCGATCATCAGCGATCGTGATCCGAAATTTACGTCGAAATTCTGGCAGGAAACGTGGGCACAGTACGGTACCCGCCTGCAGTTTTCGTCGTCATACCACCCGCAGACCGACGGACAGACGGAACGGACAAATCAGACCATGGAGCAGCTGATTCGCACCAACTGCCCCGACATTCGCAGGTGGGAAGATTCGCTGCCGATGCTGGAATTCGCGTACAACAACACCCCATCGGCCACGACTAAACAATCACCCTTTTTCCTGAATCACGGTATAGACCCCGTGGTACCCTCTTCCACGACTGTGGACAACCCGGCACCAAGATCGCAGCAGTTTGTCACGGAACTACAAACCGCCCGAATGAAAGCAGCCAAGTTCATTCGCAAGGCTAATACCACGGCCAGTCGTCAGGCGGACAAACACCGACGGAACTTACCCTTCCGCCCGGGGCAGGTTGTACTTTCTGGACACCAAGAACCTTCGGCTGCCGCAGCCCGCGAAATTACGGCCCCGCTACGTGGGACCTTTTCGGATCATCCAGATGGTGACACCTGTCACCGCGAAGCTGCTGCTGCCCGACGATTGGAAGATACATGGCACCTTCCACGTCAGCCTGTTGCGTCACTAAGAACAGCCGCAGTCGCCAGCTATTGCTCGACCGACCCTCGCGCCGACCACTCGCCCCGTGGCAGAGCCCACGCTGGAACCCTGGAAAATTCTCAGCCATCGAGTGGACGTGACTGCTGCCGGCCGCTCAGTGAAATTGCTGCTTCGCTG